CGAGACCATTACAAAGGAGAGAATCATATACACCATGGAGTGAAGTGATTAGCAGGAATCAAGTAGATCCAGTGACTCCCTTACTGCTGCCTGGATAGAAACGCAACTCTCCACCCCCCCGGCATTTTGTTTTAAAGTATGGGTAGAACAGAAATGAAAGGGAAGGGGAGTTGTCACTGCACCCCCAACCTGCACCTAATGGGGGTGAGTTCCATATAAGGAGGGATAGGAAAGCCTGTGATGGAGGGAGATGATATAGGTATTGAGTGGTTGAACCTTTTTGGAGCTCCCTCTACGTTTTGTGTCTGTACAGCACTTGGCACAATGAGCTTCTGGCCCCCAACTCCAGCTGCTAAGTGTTCCCCACAATGCAAATAGTATTAATAATAACAGGAAAACTGATAATTTAGCTACTTTCATAACATAAGAATAAGGGACACTCAAAGAAATGGAAAAACCAGTAACTGAGAGCTAAGGAAAGAACCGATTACCGCATTTGCTAACATACAACACTCAGCTCATTGTTCAGCTCAATGATCACTGGAGATTTTACTCTAGGCCAGTAACTGGAAGAAACAGCTCTTATCTTAGTTCTCACATAAAACACACACTACAAGGTGCTTCTTTGGGGAAATAGGGGTGTACTGTATATGAGAATATGTTGTATCCATTGAGTGCAAAATTAAATCATGGAACTCACCGTCTCAGGAATGTCTTGAGGCTTAACAGGGTTCAGGAAAAGATTATATGCTTAGCTAAGGAACAAGAACATTTGTGATCACACTAGGGTTTTGTTTTTAAGAGGGTTATAAACATTCATGCTTCGGTGCATTATCCAAACTCTAACGGGTCAGGAAGAAATTTCTCCTGGGGAGGTTATGCCATTATATGGTTTCTCTGAAGCAAAGGGGGCTGATCATTGTTAGGGACGAAATATTAGACTAGATCAGGGTGTCAAACCTAAAGCTTATGGGTCAGATCCAGCCCATGGAGCCATGTCCCCTGGCTCAGGTAAGGACAGGGCCCAGCACTGAAATCCAGAGCATTAAGCTCTGTTAGGGATAAACATCCATGACAGAAGCAAGTGGCAGCTTTTTTTAACCCCCTGATGCTATTTGACTTGCCACTGGGTCTGGATCCAGCCCACAAGAAGCCCCACCTTCTGGACCTAGCCCTACCTTCTTCCTTTGCCCATGTCCGGTAGTAGGTCAGTGGAAGCTGGGTTGCAAAGACCTTGTGGCTTGTACCTTTCAGTGGCAAATTACCATGACCAGAAGCTGAAGAAGTGCTGTGAAGATGGGATGTACGAGAATCCCATGGGCCACAGCTGTGACAAGCGGGCAGTGTACATCCAGGACACCAAGGAGTGTGTGGCTGCCTTCCTTGACTGCTGCAAATACATCAAGACCATCCGAGATGAGAAGCAAAGGGAACTCGTCCTGGAACTGGCAAGAAGCAAGTACTGGGCCTTTAAGAGGGGCTGGAGGAGGACAGCTCGGGGAGGACATCAAGGAAAGCCCCGTAATGGCTTGCATACCACACACCTCTGCTCCAGAGCTGGTCAGACTTAGAAATGACCAGCCCACCCTGATAAGCCTGTGTTTTGACTCCCCAGGTGAGGTTGATGAAGGGTTCTTGTCAGATGATGATATTACCTCGAGGAGCCTGTTCCCAGAGAGCTGGTTATGGCAAGTGGAGCAGCTGACAGAACAACCAAACAACATGGGGTAAGCTCTTGTAGTAATACCATTATTATTACCATGTTTTTTCCCTTGTACAATATGCCCCCAAATAAGACACACCCTCTGTTTCTAAAAGGCAGGCTGAGGAAGATACAATCTTTCCTTGATAATGCTGATAAGTAGCCATATGGAACTGAGTAGCAGCACCTGGGGACCCAGTATTGCCATATTTCTTTGCCTATAGTAAGCACTGCAATTTTCAGGTGTTGATTTGGGGAGGGGATGGGATGCATTTTATGCAAGAAAACATGGTAATCAAAGCACTTAGTGGAAGCAAGTGCATTGTGATTAGACTCAGTGTTTCTCCTTCAGCAAGATTCTCAGAGCAAGCTGCAGCATTTGATGTGAGTGAAGGCCAAAGGTAGGTATCTGGTCCATATTTGTAGGTTCATTTGCTGCAGGTGTGAGGGCTAAATTATGTAGTCTGTCCCCCCTTATAACACAGGCTAGTATTTCACCCTGTGATCCTGTTATTTCATCATTGGCTTCACTTCAAAAGGCACACAGTAGCCATCTACCTCCATCAGCTTCAGTGCCGATTTAAAAAAAAAAAAAAAAAAAATCAGGCTGCTGACTGAATTGCCTGAATATGGATGTAGACATCTGAATCTTCAATCTCTGCCCCAAAAAACATTTATTTTATTCAAGAACTTCTCATGAGTGTTTATTGTTCATGGTGTGCTGTTGCTTCCATAAGTCACGTCTTCCAGCTGATAGGGGAATAACCAAAGATAGGCAAGTCTTTGGGCCATGCCTTTTTCCCCTGCGATAGAATATAAGTACTCCAACTGGAAGTAGGCCTGGACATCAGAGTTAATCCTGAGACTTTTAAAAGAGGTTGTATCCCATTGCTGGTCATAGGAAAGTTGGACTGGAAGGGACCTAACCAGGTTATCTAGTCCAGCCCCAATCCTCGAGGCAGAATCCTACCTAACTGAACCATCCCAGTTCAGTGTCTGTCCCACCTGCTCTTGATCATTTCCAGGGATGAAGACTCCATCACTTCTCTGGGCAGCTTGTTCCAATGCTTGACCACCCTTAGAGTAAGAATGTTCCTCCCCATCTCCAACCTCAATTTCTCTTGCTCCAGCTTAAGGCCGTTGCTCCTAATCCTGTCCCCTGTGGTCATTTCCATTCTCTTTGTCATTGCCCTTCAGGGATTTGAAGACTGCTGATATATTCCCCTCAGTCCTCTCTTCTCTAGACCAAAATAACTCTAGTTCTTTCAGCCTGTCCTCATCAGTCCTGCTTCCCAGGTCTCTAATCATTTTTGTTGCTTTGGGCCAGATTTGCCAATCTGTCTCCTTCCAGTCTGGTGTGGAGTTCCTCCCTGAGCTGTAGATCCAGGGCTAAATAAGTTTCCATCAGGGTTTACCCCCAGATTTCAGCTGTATGGCTCAACATGAAGATGGACACATTTCTTGACTGGGGAATGTTCATCTCCGTCCTTCCACAAAGCCCTCTGCCTTTCTTTTTTTATGCAGAATTTCTACCAAGACAATACCTGTTTTCCTGAAGGACTCTATCACAACCTGGGAGGTCCTGGCTGTGAGCCTCTCTGAAAACAAAGGTATGTGGCATATGGCAAACTCTCCAAAGAGCAGGTAGAGATGGTAATGGGAGAAAGACTCTAGGCCAGGGGTTTTCAACCAAGGGTATGCGTACCCCCAGGGTACTTAGATAGGAAGTAGGGGGTATGCACAAACAGGCAGGCAGCCGGGGCCGAAGCACACCCCAGGGCACGGTGGCAGCATCTCCCTGGGTGCCTTACCATACTTTGCTTCTTACCCAGGGGAGAGGGAGGAGGAGGAACATGCTGGGTGCCACTGATCCCACATGGCGCACTGCAGTGCTTCCCCGCCCCCACCTCAGCTCGCTCTATGTGCCCACTCCCAGGAGCAGGGCCAGGGGAGCGAGGGCAGTGGTGCCCCTCTGTGGGCTGCACAAGTGCTGCCTGGCTGGACAGGGGTGCAGCAGGGCTCACACACGGCGGCCACCACTGCCCTGCACCACTGCCACACCCCGCGCTGCTTTCCTGTGGCCAGTCACACATGTGGCTCCACAGGCTACTGACAGGCAGCATGTGAGATGCGAGGTGTAACAGAGCTGCACGTGCAACCAGCCACAGGAAAGCAGTGCAGGGCACGGCAATGGCGGTGCAGGGTGTTGGTGGCTGCTACGTGCAAGCTCCCTGCCCACCCCCATCCAGCTAGGTGGCCACAGAGGGGCACTGCTGCCCATGCCGCTGCGCCCCCCCCCGGCCCTGCTTCTGGAAGCAGCCAGAGACACACACTTCCCCCCCCCCTTCTCAATCTGGCCCTGCCCTTTCCCCCCCACACTTACCTGTTGGGGGTGTGTATGTCTGCATCTCCATGTGTCTGTGTCTTTGTCTGTCCCCTGCCCCCCTGGCCTCAGCAGGCACATGGCATCACATGGCTCTTGGGGCAGCAGGGTGCAGAGTCTAGCCTGCAGCAGCAGCTGCCTCTGCCTCGTGCACAGATCTGGGTGGCACATGCCCCTGGACCTCCACCGGGGTGCTCACAGCAGCAGGAACTGCCCCCCCCACCCCCCCAGACGAACCATTCTTGTGGCTCCATCCCACACTGTGCCCCTGCTCTTGCCCCAGCCCCACTCCCTCCCTCACCACAGGGGCCTTGATCTGCGCCCCTGCCCCTTAAAACCAAGAAAAAAATATAAAGGGGTACATGAGCTGAAACTTTGACGCAGAAGGGGTACACTTGTTAAAAAAGATTGAAAACCCCTGCTCTAGGCTGTAATGGGCCTCGGAAACATAGCATTGTTCCAGCTGGCTGAGAAAGTAGATGTTTTTCAGTAGGAATGAATAAGCCCCGCCCTGACCTCAAGTCCTTCTCTGTTGGCCGGTGCAGGAATCTGTGTGGCCAACCCCTATGAGATCACAGTGATGAAGGACTTCTTCATTGACCTTCGCTTGCCCTACTCTGTGGTGAGGAATGAGCAGGTGGAGATCCGGGCAATTCTCTACAATTACTGGGATAAGAATATCAAGGTGAGCTTGCTGTTTCTTGTGTCTCTAGGGACGTGTGATGAAATGGGGGCCCTAAATTGAAGCAGTGGGTTTTGAAAAACACCGCTTCAATTTAGGGCCAATTAAACCCCCTTTTTGTGCACAAACCCAACTTACCTGCCTCTCCAGCAGAGGGGAGGAGAGGGTGAGCTGCCAGCAGGCAGAGTGGTCCCTTGGCTGTGGGGGGCATCTGGGTGCTTCCCTCCACAGCAGCAGCAGGCCACCCCCCAGGCAGACCCCCTGGCTCAGGTGGTCCCGGGAGGCACCAGGTCCCCACGCAGCTCATGCAGACAGGCAGGCTCTGGTAGGGGTGTGGGGGAGGAGGAAGATCAGGCTCACTGCTTTTTTCCTCTTTTGGGCAGAGCTGTCCTTCCCGGGCTGCTGCCACACTGCCTGCTTCATGGCTGGTAAGGCAGCAAACTAAAACTCCTCAGAGGAGTCTTAGTTTGCTGTGCCCCAAGTCATTTAAGGCACATTACACCACTGAATTTGCTACAGTGGCTGTAATTAATGCACAGTATGCCACCAAAGCGTGAAAACGCCAACACCATTAAAGCGGTGCAAAAGCATTTAGCCCGCTTTAAAGTGTCATGCACACATGCCCCTCATTTCATCTACACACGGCCTGGGTCTTCAGTGTGAATGTAGATAGGAAATAAGGTGACTCGATTCTAGGACCCCATCTCTCAGGGCATTAGAGGTCCCTATCTCTTAGCACCCCTTAAGAGATGTGCTTTACAACTTCTAGAATCAGGACCAGAGAATGCATCCAGCACCAGGACAGAGCAAGGTGGAAATAGTAAAACTTCTTCTCTGGCTGGGCATCAAATCTCACTAAGTACTGGCCTTTAGAATGGCAGTTTCCTTATACTCTCCCTGGCCATTAGACCAGATGGTTCTTCTTCCTTCTGAGGACCAAAGGTCCCTCTGAGGTGGGGGCAAAAGAGATGTAGGGTGAAAGTGATCCTGAAGGGAAGCTCAGGAAAGATCTCAAGATAGTCTCATGCATGAACACCGCATGCCCCCAGAGGCTGGGGGGTGGGGCACAGCAACCGCCCACAGGTGGCAGCGGTGGTGTCCTGTGGCAGGGCATGGCGATGGTGACTGGGGAGCTCCCACAAGCAGCTGCAGCAGTGTCAGCAGCAGAGGGGAGGAGGGAGGTGGCGAATGCCGACCAGCGGTCGGTGACCACCAGCGGACGCCAGTGGTGGTGTCGGCGGCAAGGGTGGGGGGGGTGGCAAATGGCAGCCGCCCCCAGGCACCACCGGCACCGCCAATCTCAGGGGGTGCATGTACGCCTGCATGCATGCCCTACATGTCAGCAATGCTCTCATGCTTTAGAACATTTGTGTCCAACCTTTTTTGCTCCATTGGCTGGATGGCTGGTGCAGGGTGGGTCTATGAGCTGAATCCACTCCATGGGCCCCATCCAGGTGCACATGGGTTCAGTGCATGCTGGATCAGTCCTGCATGCCGTATGGTGGTTACAGCCCCACAGGGGATCAGGCCTGTCACCCCAGTCCCCCTGCACACTGGATCAGACCCAGTCCCTACAGCGCCACATGGTCTGGATTGGGCACCACTGCCTATCCCCAGCTGTGTGGGCATGAGATTGGACCAGGGGTTCAGCACCCCTGCTTTAGAAATACAGACTTACCTTGGTTAACCATCCTTAGTTATCAGGATGAAAGACAAACTCTAATCAGAGGGTGCATTTTTGGGTAGCAACATGTTGCATGTGGGGATGGAGCAAGGAACTAAGTAAAGACTCTGCCTAGATCAGTGGTACCTGGAGATCCTTCTAGGGTGCCCCAGGGTGCCACACCATTTTAGCGTGGTTAGGCATGCCAGTATGATTCACAAGACAAACCCAGAGATTTCAAATAGGAAGGCAGAGTGTTTAAAAGCATCCTGCCCTATTGTGGGCTTTCTGAGTTTTTTTGCAGCAGAAGAATTGTTCTGTTTTGTGTAGTCACAGGAGCAAAAATTTAAGAGCTGGCATTTTCCAAGCAGGACCTGGAATCTAACAACAACAGAGTCTAGGGCCTAATGAAAGGGCCTTGGGTCTAACAAGATTGAGAACCGCCAGCCTAGAACCACCATCTCTGTTCTTTCTTCAGGTCCGAGTAGAATTGATACACAACCCGGCTTTCTGCAGCGCATCGACTTCCAAGCAGAGGTACCGCCAGATATATGATCTCCCACGCTTGTCCTCCCTGGCAGTGCCATTAGTCATTGTCCCCTTGGAGCTGGGGCTCCATGATGTCGAGGTCAAAGCTGCTGTGTGGGGCCAATTCGTGGCTGATGGTGTAAAGAAGAAGCTGAAAGTCGTGGTAGGTATCAGGGGATATCTCCTGTTGGGGCAGATTGGCTGGTATTGGGAACACCTGCATCTCTGTCCTCATAGAATCGTATGGTGACTGTACACAAGCATGGAGGCTGCTGTAATTGCAGCATGTTGGAGCAGACTCAGTTAACCAAGTCTTCTGGAAATGTGGCAGTTACTGTGCTCTAGCAGCCTTCCATGTCTTGTGTATCAGTGTCCCTGCACTTCAAAATGGCAGCAGGGGCGCTTGAACTAAAACGTCACTTCCCCCTCCCCCCCAAGTGCACGTGTAAATGTGCTAATAGAGAAGTGGGGCTGAAGGGACCTCTAGAGATCACATCTAGTCCAAACCCCTGCCTGAGGCAGGATCAGCCCTGTACAAACCATCCTAGACAAATCCATTGTCCAACCTTTTAGCAAAACTATACAGTCAACCCTGACATAACACAAGGAATCACACCCAAACCTGCCACAGGTAAAGCAGGGGACCCACAGCTGCCAAAATCTTGCTTCTGTAAAAGATTGTTTATATATGCTCAAGAAATCCCAGGTAGAGGCCATGCCCCCTGCTACAGAGAAAGGCAAACTCTCCCCACAAGTCCATACTAATCTGGCCATGGGGTAGAACTCCTTCCTGACCCCACATCTGACATTGGTCTGACCCTGAGCAGAGGAGTGAGACCCTCAAGCCAAGAACCTCCAGGTTTGTGTCCCAACAGAAGCATTAGCACAGTCCAGTAGCCATCCCCAGCCTGGGCTGCAGTCAACACCCAATGCCCTGATACATGAAGCAGAAAATGGGGAGGCCTTCCTACTTCCTTTCTACTGCTGTGGCAATGATGACCAAGCTGGGAGTGTCCTTTATACCCTCAACTTTTGGCTATTACTGGAGGGACCCTGAGCTCAGAATCTGGCCCCTTAAACCAGCCAGTGGTGGAATCCATGGAAACTCGGGGTACCTGGGAGTTACTGCTGACCAGTCTGCAGTGTCCCTTGGGAGCCAACCAATGTAGCATCCCTGGGGGGATTCTAACAGGTGCTCCATCCCCCATGCTCCAGAGGATCACCACAACACTAGATGAAAGGAAGGTTCTCCACTGAAGGTCAAAAGGAAGAGAGAATTCCCTCAGGGAGATCCTAGAGCAATGGCCAATTTGGATTCTTTGTTTTCATGCCCTGTTCAATTCTTTGGGTTAATTTCCCCAGGAATCCAAGTGTTTATATCTGGGATACCATCTTCGCCCACATGCTACATGTACCTTTCCCCCAAAAATGAGCCCTCTAAAATTAGGAGGGCATGTCTGAAGTGAGAGTGCTGATTTTTTTTTTTTCTTCCCTGCAGTAGAAGCATGGAGGAACAGAAGCATAGAGATACTGTGTTGTAATGACTGTCAAAATGGCTGGTGCTTCTCTCGTGCAGGGGAGGGGGGGGAAAAAAAACTCGTGTTAACCCTTTCATTGCTGCCACTGAATTACCAGTATCTTCTGGCTAAGCAGCCTTCCAAACCCGAGTTGTATGTCATAATTGGAGGCATGTACACTAGAAAATATATAGTAAATGTGGACTACAGACCCTCCTAAGCAGGGTCAAAAAGGAAAGGAGAAGCTGCTTGATACTGGGGTGGGGGAGCAGATCTGAGACTCAGTCAGCCTTATTCTGATGTCAGTTATAGCAGTGTCATGTGCCCAGTGACTAGCACAGCAATTGGTCCTGACTTAGGCTGAGATCATTAGCATCATGGTTGGGCCTTAAGAAAGTATGTCTTTTACCTTTCTTATTGGCTCTTCACTGTCTCCAGATGCCCCTGGTTGTCACGATGTAATGATTTGTGTCCTTGTGGTTCCTTTCCAGCCTGAAGGGATGAGGATGACAAAAACGGTCAAGTCCGTCACCCTGGAGCCCTCTGTGAAGGGGCTGGGTAAGTTACTGACATGCTTTACTTTCAAACCATGTCTTTCTTCCTGTAGGATCACCCACAGTTGCTTGGGGTCAAATTCACTTTCTGCCCCAGGCTGGAGCCAGACTGTGAGGATCCTTGGAGGACTGGATCCTGCCTAGGGCATGCAGCGGCAGTGGCTGGAGGGCAACTGAGGCTCTATCAGCCCTTGCCCTCCTTCTTGTCACCAATTACTATGTCCACAGGGGCCAAAGGGTCCCAGATTCTGCCCCATATCCTCCAATGTCCAGTGGCCTGCTGGTATCCCAGCAGTCTGGATAGAGCAACTCCCTGAACTAGATCTAGCACACATGGATCTAGTCCAGTAAGCAACAGTCCAGTAGACAATGGTTTCAGGAGATGCTGCAGGGAACATGTGACGGGACGCCTATACATGAGCCAGGAGGCTGCTCCAGCACTCTGTAATTACAGTGCTCCTACCAGCCTCCATGCCTCATGTATCAGTGTCCCCATGCTTCAAAATAGTGGTAGGGGCACTTTAACTAAAGCTTGTTCAAGCTTTAGATAAAGCACCCCCACTGCCATTTTGAAGCGCAGAGATGCTTATACACGAGACACTCCAGGAGCTTTAATTGGAGCATTTCTTGGAGCCACTCTAATTAAAGCCCCCTCCCCCCCCCCCTTCTCTCCAGAGCATGTGTAAAAATGCCCATGCAGTTGCATAGGTTTTGGGCTGCATCAATAGAAGCATTAGATGCAAGACATGGGAGGTGACAGCGCCTCTACTCAGTGCTGGTTTGTTTGACACCCCTGATCTAAAGCAATGACCCTTCTGTGTTTTAAGCCTTTGTAGCTATTCCAACCCCTTTGTTGATTGTCACAGAATCCTAGAAAATTAGGATTGGAAGGGACCCCAGATGGTCACCTAGTCCAACCCCCTGCTCAAAGCAGGACTATCCCCAACTGTATCATCCCAGCCAAGGCTTTGTCTAGCCATATCTTAAAAACCTTCAAGGATGCAGATTGCACCTTACTAATGGAATCAGGTGTTCTCCACCTTAATATGTCCCAGCCTGTTATCCAATTGTGCCTTGCTTAGTTTTGGCCAAGCTGGAAGCCAATATGAAGCTGTTCATCTTTGCACCTAATGACTAGCTTGCTAATTCCCAGCTCAGCAGCCCCCATCACTTCTTTTCTCCTAGCAGCTGGGTTGATTTTGCACGGTTCTCTGTCAATGTTGCAAGAGTCCTAGTCAAAGCTCAAGGGGTTGTTGCAGTCATTTGCACTGATAACATGTTGTTGCTTCCTTCCATATCTTCCTTCTTAGGTGGAGTCCAAGTTGAGCAAGTGACAGCTGCAGATATAGAGGACATTGTTCCTAACACAGAGTCGGAGACCAGAGTCAGCGTTCAAGGTGAGAGCTAGGGACTTTCAAGGGCTTTGGAGGCCACAATAAGGGGAAAAAGGACTTCTTTTCTTGTCACTCACACCTACAGCTGACTGATTTACTGTATGACACTGTTGACATCTCCTTGTTATCCAGAGGTGCTATAGAGCATTCCT